AAGTGAAATCGAGTGTTAAGTTCAGTGTCTACAACGTTTCTAAACATAGGATCCTTTGTAAGATCATTCTGAATCAGAATTGATTAGGTATGCAAATTCTATTAGTAGTTTTAACCCTAGGGTGCAAAACTCCTAAATTACCCCCAGGCGCAAATATATGACTTTTCTATCTCGGCTTCTGAACGTTGTAGGGGCCTCTCTTTGAGATCAAACTAACTACAATGGCCACATTTATGTACCGACTATAAAGCACAAAGCAACTTAGGGTCTATACAGCTTAGTTTTTAGAAATTCATTAAAAACTTTTTTAACCTTCAGGCATCATCCCTAGTCTCTACCCAGCTACCACCAGTGCGTTATGATTTTAGATCTTTCTAGCAACCTCTGATATGAATGCTACCTCTTCCTCTATCCAGCTACTATACCACCAATTCCAGCTGTTTTCACCTACTTCGGCTACTATCTCTTTAGCTACCACCAAGGTTCCTCCAACTTCTGCTATTTCTAGCAATCTTAGCTTAGGTTAGTGGACTACTTCTTGCCCTATCTAGCAACCATCAGAAAAATGTCCTCTTCCTTAATGAGCTGGAAATTGTTGGATGCAGCGGAGGTAGCACTCATATCAGAGGTTATAAGATCTAAAATTATAACGTATGGTGGTAGCTGGGTAGAGTTGACCTGGAGTTAGCAGAAGGCAGCTAGAAGTAGATTCTGCTACATGAGGTTGGATTCAAGTTGATTAGCCATAAAAGCCGAGCAGTACTGGAGAGAGCCCCAGAGAGGGAGCTGAAGGCAGCCTTCTGAAACTGAGTATTTTCGCAGTTATACCAAAATTAAAGTTAGGTGGTATGTGCTGCTCCATAAATGTTATCCTAATGTGTTTATGTTGAACGTTTTAATGTGCTGCAAATATCTTTTTAGCCCGAGATATCATTATTAAGTACATGTTTGATCATATTACTATTTTATGATGCATGAAGGTTAAAACAGTTTTTAATGAATTTCTATAAACTAAGCTATATAGACCCTATGTTGCTTTATAGTCGGTATATAAATGTGGCCATTGTAGTTAGTTTGAGCTCAAAGAGATGCCCCTACAACGTTCAGAAGCCGAGATAGAAAAGTCATATATTTGCGCCTGGGGGTAATTTAGGAGTTTTGCACCCTAGGGTTGAAACTACTAACAGAATTTGCATACCTTATCAATTCTGATTCAGAATGATCTTACAAAGGATCCTATGTTTAGAAACGTTGTAGACACTGAACTTAACACTCGATTTCACTTAACTTCTAGAGTAGATTTTTTGCTTGTGAAAATCAGTTTTTCTGAATTTTTTCCAAAAATAAGCATTTTGGGCTTTCATGACCTTCATAATACTAATATAAACATGTGTATTACGGTCATTTTAAACTCAAATTTGAGTCTCTAAGACCTTCAGAAGCTGAGATACATATTTCCCATATACGCACCTGATATGAAATATGGGCGTGGCTCCACAGGGTTGAAACTACTTATAGAATTTGCTTACTTTATCAATTCTAATTCAGAATGACCTAACAGAGGACCCTGTGTTTAGAAATCTTGTAGACACTGAACTGCTTACTCGATTTTCACTAAATTTCTAGAGTAGATTTTTTTACTCACGCTCAAGTGAAAATCGGTTTTTCTGAATTTTTTCCAAAAATAAGCATTTTGGGCTTTCATGACCTTCATAGTACTAATATAAACATGTGCATTGCGGTCATTTTAAACTCAAATTTGAGTCTCTAAGACCTTCAGAAGCTGAGATACATATTTCCCATATACGCACCTGATATGAAATATGGGCGTGGCTCCACAGGGTTGGGGCTAGCGACACAAAATTCCCCCCTCGGTGATTTGAGTTACCAATGACCTATTTAACCCGATGCAATAGCAAAAAACTCTGTACATCGAAGTGCACACTCAACACCTCCCTGCTACTGGAGTACTGGGATTGCTACAAAATTCAGAGAAATATTAGAAATAAATTAGCTAAAACCTGCAAAAAGGCTAATGTAATCGATGATCTACAAGTTAAAAGTGCCAAGAATGATCTTAAAGGGGTATGGAAAACTATCAAACTGGCATCAAATATGACCCCTGGTACAACTAATTGTCAAACTATCAATGAGAATGATCCTGAGCTATTTAACTTTCATTTTGCAAATGTTGGATCAAGATTACAAAATCAGGCCCCCAATATTGAAAGAGTTAGTTTTACTGATTTTTTACCTCCTAGAACTTCTAACATCTCATTTGATAGATTCCAAGAAATAAATGAAACTGATATCCTAATGTATGTCGAAACGCTCAAGAATGACAAGGCCTCATATGACGATGTGCCTCTATTTTTACTTAAGCAAGCTGTACCACACATAGTTGAGCCACTGACCCATATTGTCAATTTGAGCCTTAATACAGGTGTTGTACCAACCCTTTGTAAAAAAGCTAGAGTAACTCCCATCCATAAGGCAGGAATGAAAGATGATCCTAATAATTACAGGCCAATATCCATCCTTCCACTTGTAGGAAAACTTATAGAATACTAGATCAACATCACATAAAAACTTTCAATACTTGGGGGCAAAATGTTGGAATAATGTTCCAACAGATCTACGAAATCTGCCCGATGTTAAAAGCTTAAGTGATTCGTATAAGAAACAGCTACTCTCATCTATAACAACAGACCCTAATTATACCGTCGACAATTCATATGACAAATTTTACACTGCAATCATAGTCGACGATAACTAAGTATCTTCTAATTCTTTTAAATCTGAGGCATATATAATTGATGTATCGAAAGGATTTTCCCTTTTTTACCACCTTACCATTTTGATTGATTTTGCACATGACTGACATGTTTTAACTGGAGAAAGGGTTCGCACAGTGGTAGTTTTATAAACCACTTTTAATTTATTGACCTATTATACCTAGTGGTAGTTTTATAGACCACATTTAATTTATTTACTTATTATACTTAGTATTTATTTTTGGTGACTGTATCACCCAGTTTTTACATTTGATAATTGTACAGTTTATTGACGACACATTGACTGAATGTTATTTTATATTCTAATTTATATTCTAGATATTTTATTTATTTTTCAACAGACGACAACTTCCTGTTTTTTCTTCTATATTAGTTACTCATATCTCTTTTACAGACTTTTTTACAAGGACATTGACAGATGATACTCACATTAGGCATTCATTATTGCATCTAAATTATTTCACTTGCATTAGGTTTAGAAATTTATTCTCTGGTTAACAGATTTCAAATGTTTAATTAATTTGTAGTATGACAGTAAGGTATATAAGAAGTTATTTAATTTTGCTTGGGCTATTATATTGACTATTGAGGTTTAATGATGATATGGAATTTGAATTCTATATAAATTTACACTGTGTGGTTGGGGCATTTTGCATAGTAAATATGGTTACTACTCCTATATATCATATTATTTGATTGGTATTCGATTTCTGATTATTTCTCTAGGAATATGATTATTATATCTCAATTTGGCTTTAGGTAGGGTGCCCCGCTAAAAGAACTGGATTCTTCCAGGAAGCATCCCGTGCACAGACCTTGGTCTACATATATTAAATTATTAACCATTCATTCTGTATGTGCACGAAAATTTATTTCAATCAAAAAATGGGTTGTGGCCATTTCGAAATATTCGAGGATAAATATTCAGAATAATACAAATATAACTAACTTTATAGCTAGACAATTACCATTGTTGAAATTACCTTTGTATTGTTTTCCCTTTAATTTAAATAGTTCTTCGACGAAGTTTCTCAAGTTCATGAAGTCTAAATCGGAAAGTTTTCGGAGGAGTTTTAAAAGATTCCAGAGATTGCACCAATCGATTGTGCATCTTAAGAGCCACTACGGAGAAGCTACACACACCAAACTTAGATCTGAGCATGCATGTCTTTCAGACAAGTTGATACCAATTCTAGCAAGGATTTGTGAGATAGTAGTAAGATTTGAATGCAATCCTTTTCTTTATATCCAACCAGTAAAGATTGATCAGTTCATCCTCAAGATGGTCATGTTTATATTGCCTATTAACAGCTTTGGCTACAGCAATTTGAAGTAACTGAAGCTGATATAGAAGCTTCTTTCAAATTCTAAAGTTTAAGCCATAATTACAGTAATCCAAGTAGGAATCATATTTTTCTGCTATACGTAAAGTATGGACAAATTTATTGCTGAGATTTACCATCTGTTTATCGAATACCAGCTGATTGTCTATAACCATTAACCAACCAGGTTCTTAACAGTAGGCACAAACATTACTAATGTTTTAGGAGTGATTTCCACACAATCTCATTTAGCACTACTTTATTAGGCCGAAAGACTATAATCTGAGTATTAGAATCATTTTTATTAGTTCTAGAATCATGTATATTAGCTGCAGATAATATTTAAACATCAAGTTCTTACTTCTTTATCCTCAAGAAACAATTTCTCAGTTGGTTGGTTAAGGTTTTGACTTAATCTGAGGGACAGAAAGATCTCATGTTTTGATCATCATCTGCATAACCAATAATATAAAAACAGCCCAAACTTTTGGCACTGCTATTTTGAGCCTTCAGTGCTGAAGTAACTTCCTCTAGACCTATTGGTGAAACTGTAGTTGTCTGCCTAGATGATTTATTTAATAATTTATTATTTCTATTTAGTAGGCAACATGTCAACGTTCTGAGTAAATTTTATCCAGTACAAAAAAACATAGTTCTGATCCACATATCCGTAGGTAGTTTTCTCCACTAGCTTTGTTAGTGGACAAAAAGTTGATCTTCTAGCTTCCAATGGCAGGAACATTAAACATCAAGCACAATATTTTTGCCCCCCTCCCCTCTTGGTAGCTGGGATAGCGTTACCTCGTTACCTACGTTACTAAGATAATATGTTGTTTTTTTCATAGATTCATAACACCATCAACTAATTCTTTATTTTGTTTAGCTTGTCACCATGTTAAAAAACCCTGGTGATAGATTCACCCGGTTCCACACTGATGGTCCCATGCCTGACAATGTTCCCACTGACGAAGGACCAGGTTTTATACTATTCTAGAGTATTCCATTTCAGTCTGTCAAACAAAATCCGATGTTTTGCATTTCCTGTTGTTAGTCGCGATTTCCTCATTTGTTTAAATATTGTAATTGATCGAAAAATTGCATCAGGTACCCTCTTCATGTTATACCATTCATAATTCGTACAGACTTCTTATTTTGTAAAAACCTCATTTCAGCAAAGAAATATTTCGACACTGATAGAAAAATTGCTCGAGACTTTAAGAGAGTCTTCAACCCTGAGGAGGGACAAGAGTCCTTGAGCACTAAGTTTAGGAAATATCAGAAATGGTAGTGTACTGTTTGTTTTTAACCTCCAATCAGTTTAATAAGTCAATTGGCACTATTGGAACTAAACTTTCAAAATCATTGCTGAACACCAGTTTTATATTAATTAGTCTCTGATATTAATTCATTATCGATTGGCTCACCAATACTTGTATTCCAGGTACACATTAGAGTACCGTAAAGACCAAATGACAGTCATTGGCTATCAGAGTGCAGTGTCAGACTGCTTCTTCAACAACGGGACCGACTATAAAGCTTCCTGCAGAGGAGCCTTCGAGGATTATATGGCTTCCTTGAACGTTTTTAAAGCTAAATATGGGACAGTGTAGTTTACTATGCGTTTTGGAGGTTGTCAACCCAAAATGCAGACAATGTTGTCAAACTTTATAATTGGAGTACGGAAACTCTTGCAAGAATCGTGATTCATGAATGCAATGATATGCTTAGAGTAATAATGAAATAGGCATTGCAAATTTGGCCTTGGATCAAATTGATGCAGTTAGTTTAAATGATTAGATAATGACAGAAACTTGAGTTGGTCATTTTGTACAGTATACTTTATACATTAACTTATTAAATCTAATTATAACTGCATATTTATACAAAATTTAGACTGATTCTTGAATGATGAATTGTTCATTTAGCAGGAAATGTAAGTTTTAAAATAAAGGTTTTTCAAAGAAATACGAGGTGCAGTTTAAGATAATAAAACCACAACTTCCCACTAAGACAGGAACATGGCAGAGTACCTGGCCTCGATATTTGGCACCGAGAAAGACAAGGTAAACTGTACCTTCTATTTCAAGATAGGAGCCTGTAGACATGGTGAGACATGTACCAGGATTCACAACAAGCCCACCTTCTCCCAGACAATAGTTCTCTTGTCCATGTACAAGTCCCCAGCAGCCACTGCTGCGGTGTTGGATCCTGCTGGCCTCGGAGGTTTGTCATCTTGCTTTCTTGTCTGCTCTTTTTTTTAGTCGATATATTCGCTTGCTTTTTTCCTTTGCTTTTTATCCATGATATATTCTTGGGCACCAATGTACCTATATCAGATAATTATGATTTAATTTTTTATATGATATTTAAATGTAAGTTTTCTCTTGCGACAGTGATGATGCTCATGATGCTTTAGTGATGTCAAAAAGATGATGGTCCTCACTGTTCCTTTTTTCAATCGTTATATCACCAGATTTATATAACCCTTTATACGATTCAAAGGCGAATAGCTTGGTATATTTAATTTAACTCCTGAATATTGCTAGGCTGAAGGATGTATGTTTTTCAGTATCCCAATACTCAGATACGGAATTACAGTCACATTTTGATACTTTCTTTGAGGATGTCTTCGTCGAGGTGGAAGATAAATATGGTAATATCTTTTCTAACTTTGAAATATACTCTTTGAACGTAAAATATCTATCGGAAATATCTTGTAATGCTTATAATATTTAAGTACACGATCGATTAAATATGTAACATTCTAAAAGTGCTTTCACCCGTAATAAAATACTCTCACACCATAAAATTGTACTAAATCACCCAACAAAATATCCCGGAATAATTAATATCTGGTACATTCCAGGTGAGATAGATGAGATGAATGTGTGTGACAATCTAGGGGACCATCTCATGGGTAATGTCTACATAAAGTTCGTGAAGGAATCAAGTGCTAAACCTTGTGTAGAGGCTCTCAACAACAGATGGTGAGAATGCTCTAGAATATAATATAGTAATAACGTAAATACAATGTTACTTAGCAGAACACAATGGAGACCTTGTAAATAATGTTATTGAGCATTTATGCTGTAGCCTGTATGCAGGATTAAGCGAGTCAGAATATTCTACATTCTTAGTCTCAAATGAGGTAAATATTATCTCTGGATAGTGATGTAATGTACGCCACCATAAGCATTGATAAGATTGATGATGGATAAATCTGATGACAGGAAGTTTTTTTATAGATTCTCAACATCCGTCAGTTAATATAACACAAATCATTAAATTTCCCTGGCCAGTGAGCACCCAAACAACTTCGTTTATAATCTACTTCACGACCAACAAACACTAAACAGGGCCATTACAAGCCAGAACCTTCAACACCTGCCTCCCCCCTGCTAGGTACAACGGGGCCCCAATAAAAGCAGAGTTGTCCCCGGTAACAGACTTCAGAGAAGCGTGCTGTAGACAGTATGAAATGGGAGAGTGTACGCGCGCAGGTAACTTTATATCCTGATATTTCTTTCTTAAAATACTCCACGGCTCTTTATAGTTGATTGAAATCAACAAAATTCAGCATTTTTGGCGGGATAATTTCTTTTTACATGTGCTGTATACAATTGGATCTTTGATGCACGACCGACTGATTGTTTTCTCGGATACGATGCAATCGTGCAATGCTTTCAGTGCAATCGATCATGATTATTCAAATACTCTCCTTTACCAGGCTTTTATAATGCAAACTAACATAAATGAATAACAAACTGAATTTTGTTGACCAGAGCCGTGGGGTGACGTGTTACTGTAAAGTTGGAATTGTTTTGTATGACATTATGTAGGAGATCCTAACTTTCTATTCTGCCCTTGTAGCCTAGCCTGCCATGGCGACCCTACCCCTAGTTTCAGATCCGGTTAATGTCGCGTGCTGGGCGCAGCTGGGTTCGGTAAGTGGAAACTAGTAGTATGGAGTAGCTAGAAGTGTACTATAAGTACTATATATAATAATAGCTAGAAGTATACTATAAGTACTATATAGTATATATAATATACTATAAGTATACTATAAGTACTATATATAATAAGAACTATAACTCTGTAAATAACCTTGCTACCTAGCTAGAAGTATACTATAAGTACTATATATAATAAGAACTATAACTCATATAGATAACCTTGCTACCTAGCTAGAAGTATACTATAAGTACTATATATATAATAAGAACTATAACTCTTATAAATAACCTTGCTACCTAGACCTAGGCTTGTGTGTTTTCTAGTCAGGAATCATACAGTTAACGGTGATATGATTGCGGACTTTTAATTTGGGGGCCCTCTGCTCGTTTGTTTAGTATTTGGTATTGATAAAAACAGTTTAATCCGTACTTTTACTATTTGGTGAGTGAGCAGCATCTTGGTAATTTAAAATAATTGAACAGGTAGGTAATGTAATAATAGAGAATTGGAGCGTGTAATTTCCTTTAGCCGTAGGGTTGTACAATGTACAATGTACATGCCCTTCATAAAAATTACATGCAATATTCTGGTCGTTCTCTCATTAATAAAATCCCCACTTTTGAAGGTGTGACAGCTTCGTGGACTATATTTTATAGTTGTAAGGTTCACCAGATAATTATGGAACACACCCTCCTGATTAGGCAATATATTGTAGTGTTGTTGCTTAGTTCTGGTATTGTGAAATTAGTGTCCTTATAAACCGTATCTTTGCCTGCTAGCTAGAGTAAGTAAGGACAGATTTGATTAATAAGGTGATATCTGTTGGTGTAGATGAAGTAATAATTACTATCTTCTCACATTCTCTTCACTTTCAGGGTTCTGTAATTTCATGCACCTCAAGCCCATCAGTAAGGATCTTAGGAGAAAACTGTACGGAAGAAAGATGAAGGTTTGATTATTGTTACTTATCAGTGATTAATTAATGAGTTTTCGCTACAAATTATCTCAGGCTGCCAGCCTATAATTTGGGCAAATAAATTGTTTAAAACTTTGCTTGATTTACAATTTACGAATCACAAATTACGAACTGAAATTACAAATTAAATCTATAATCAGGAGATGAGAAGGTCACCCTCAGTAATGTCGGACGCATCCTCTTCAGCAGAGAAGAAGAAAAAGAAGAAGAAGAAGAAACATAAAGCTAACCACAAACTTAGTGGTAGACTTTACATGTAGTACTGATAATAATTCGGACAATGCTTCACATTGCTAATTATTAGTGGATTAGATGATCTGGTCCTGGAATTATAAGCTCGCGTTATGTTCGTTTTTAGGATATAATACAAATTCTTGTTCCGAGCTACCTTTTATCCAATGAAATTATAGTTTAATAATTATGGGGGATCCGGAGTTATAATTTTTAAGCATCTGCTCAGGTTTCTTAAAATCTCTTAAAATTATTGAATTTTCAGCTTTTTGTTTTGCAGTTATAGCCATTTTGACTTAGTTTATTAAATATATAATATGTTAAGCTTGTCATTTGGCAGATTCCTAATCTTTTCAGCGGTATCATAGGAATTAAAGTAAACTTACGATAAACTTTTCTAAGACCGTACCACTGAAAACTGCAGCTTTAGAGTTAAGTTCCATATTTGATTTATACTAGAATCTAGGCAAAACATTCTAATTTCCTATATGATATTTTTATGCTGTTTACAAAAGATTCTTTGTTATTTTGTTGTCCAAATTTGTATTTATAGACTTGACAATAACAGAGAAGGCAAATAAAATTCTTTCTGGCAGCTTCCCATTTAGGTATGTTATAGTTCGCTTCTGTGCATTGGTTCATTGCAATTTATTTCGCGCCAAAACAATCGTATTCAAATGCAGTGATACATAAAATAAAACTTGATAATTCTAATTGTATCCCTAACAACTGCAACACTAGCGATGTGAAGATCCCGCAACACTCTCCAGAGCCGGCCTCGTGACTCACGCGCGTGATGTAGAGCGCACGTGCGCGTACTACACGTTTCTATGATAACGGTATCTGGTGCTTGCTACGCTCTACTTAATGTCTTCCTGTTGGTGATATGCGTGGTTTACATCGCAGTGCGCGCTGTGCTCGGTGCATGCTGGTGGTGCGTTAAAACACCTGTCCTCTTCTGCTTCTACTTCTTCATGGGTAAGCCTGTTAAATATCGGACGGAATCAGTTATGATGTTAGATTAGCTATTAGTCAACTTATTAAAACTTTTAATTATCCCTTACCAGTATCTTGATTAATGGACCATGTTTTATCTCTAATGTAACATTTCCATTTATCGACTTTAATCCTCAAATCACAAGAATATGTAAGTTCTTACTTGAGAGGGGTTGAGAGATATATTAATTCTTATTAATCCAACGAGATCAAACACTACCATTATATCCCCAGATATATTGCTTTAAATCCTTGCTTGTTATCTTAGCTTTTGTCTTGATATTTCTAATACTAGACTATCCTGCAGGTGTTAAGAACTTCGTGCAGCACGGTAAAGCCCAGCTGCCGGAAGAGGAAGAGTTTGATCCAGAGAACATGTTTGCAAACAGACGCAGAGCACCGACAGGTCCTAAACGTGAACCCGGACAAGGGTTTACTACTGAACTTCCAAAAAATAGTGAGTAGCTACTTAAACTAAGCGTGATTATTATTATAACGGAACAATTAGCATCCTGTCAAATGTTATTGTACAATGTATTACTGAAATTGAGATTTAAACGGGAATTTAGAATCACTGATGAAAATGAAAGCCATTAAAAAAGTTTGACCCTAAGTGTTTCCAGCTGAAGACAGCATAAAGCGGCTCCTATCGTTAGCGAACAAAGACTGCTACACAGTAATGGGAGTCACTCCTGACGCCAACCAGGCTGATATTAAGAAAGTCTACCGACAACAAGCAATCCTCGTTCATCCTGACAAAACATCACATCCTGGAGGTGATGCAGCCTTCAAGATACTGGCACAGGCATTTGAGACTGTAGGGGACCCTGAAAAACGTAGTGTAAGTCTATATCCAGATCCAAATCAGATTAATCGTCCAATCAAAAAAAGCCTTATCAAATTTTCCCATGACTAAATGTACCTCTAAATTGCATTGTTACTCTATTGCATTTGGGAGGTTGTTTTATTTGGAGAATATAGCTACTGAGTACTGAGTACACATTGTACATGGAATGCAGTGATATTTTACACTATATCAGGAATCTCTTCTTCTGTGTGTAACACTTTAGATTTGTATCGTTCTGTGTGTAACACTTTAGATTTGTATCGTTCTGTGTGTAACACTTTAGATTTGTATCGTTCTGTGTGTAACACTTTAGATTTGTATCGTTCTGTGTGTAACACTTTAGATTTGTATCGTTCTGTGTGTAACACTTTAGATTTGTATCGTTCTGTGTGTAACACTTTAGATTTTTATCGTTCTGTGTGTAACACTTTAGATTTGTATCGTTCTGTGTGTAACACTTTAGATTTGTATCGTTCTGTGTGTAACACTTTAGATTTGTATCGTTCTGTGTGTAACACTTTAGATTTGTATCGTTCTGTGTGTAACACTTTAGATTTGTATCGTTCTGTGTGTAACACTTTAGATTTGTATCGTTCTGTGTGTAACACTTTAGATTTGTATCGTTCTGTGTGTAACACTTTAGATTTGTATCGTTCTGTGTGTAACACTTTAGATTTGTATCGTTCTGTGTGTAACACTTTAGATTTGTATCGTTCTGTGTGTAACACTTTAGATTTGTATCGTTCTGTTGTTGCAATATTTTCAAGATGACAGATGTCACACTATTCTGCCTAAAAGTGGCTTACTAAGTCGCCTGTCCTTGTAAGCTTGTATACCTCATTGTCTTCTCGTACTACTTCCAATTTACCTCCTATTTTCTGGAACCCTTACAATACGTCTTACCATGTTAGAGACTTATCAATTTTACGCTTTTCTCCTAAATCATAAGCACAGCAAGTAGCAACTTAAACTTTGTTGCATTCACCTTGTTCAAACTAAACTATAAACATCCTGTGAAACCCAGTCACAGTAATGACCCCAACAACAAGACCACACCCAACACATAACGTGTAAAATCCGGATTGGAGTATTGTTTATGAGTCGCGTTGTTGTAATTTATTCTGTGTAAAATTATCTTTATCCCGGTTACTGCGACAAGTAAAAATGCTCTTATTAGGAAAAGGAGTTAACTCAACGTTTCAATGTAACTACATCGTATTCATGATCTCAATAAATGTATTTAATTGTAGTTGTGAAAATAGTTTAAACTATTAACCAACACATGACCATCACAGGAGTACGACGAAGGGTTGATAACACCAGAACAGTTCGCAGAAGACATCGAGACAATGATGAGGAAGCTGTACGAGACATACAGCAACACGTTACCCTGTGCGGGTTGTAATCACGTACACAAGATTACCCTGTGTGAGGGAAAGGCATGTAGCCGGTACTGTGAGGAGTGTCGGGAACAGCATACAGTTAAAGAGGTACGTGTGTTTGTTTGTTACGGTCGTCGTTATGGCTGTTGATTGTTTTATTGAAATCTTTCAAATCAGTCAATTACATACAAGTTTACACAATGAATTAGTTAAATATAATATTGTCCTCTAAGCATGGATTGTCAAAGTTGAAATTGTCTCGGACAAAATGTATGTAACCAAAGGACCTGAGGGTCACCAAAACACAGATATTGAGTGCAAATGCAGCTCCTGCACAAGCATGGGCCCTTATAAAATTGTAATAAGTTACTTTAAACAAAATCACACACCCATTCAATCAATTCATAAAATATTGTGCTGTGAGATGAAATTGAGAAATATGTGAATGCAGACAGCAAGAATAGATAATCTTGAATAAACTATTTTACGGATTTGATTCTATTGAATAGTCAAGTTCAGATTCCGAATCCACCGGGATAATTTTCCCCCACATGTAAGTGGAAAGTTTACTTTTAAAATCAGTGATACTCTCTATCTCACGGATATCTAGAGGAATGTGATTCCACTTAGTGTGGGTCCTATAGAAGAAATTCTTGGCAAAAGCGTTGGAGCTTGCTCGAGGTGAGATAGAGCTTACAAAACATAGAGAGTCCATGTGACTATTTCTGAGCCTTGAGTGGCCTTGAAATGGTTGCAAATATGAGGGTAAAGTGACAGGTATATGTTGCTTCACAATTTTAAAGAAGAAGATGAGATCCAAGAAGTCAAAGCGGTCTTCAATCGGCATAATCTTCAGCTGTCTGCATTTTTGAATGTATGTGGATGGTGGATAACTCATATACTCCTCGTGAAGAATCCACTTAATAGCACGCTTTTGGAGGCCCTCCAGCTTGCTTATCTGGGATTTTGTGACTGGTCTCCATATAACCGAGCAATGCTCAAATAGGCTCCTCACTAGAGTGAGATACAGTACTCTACGACGATTTACGTCTTGGACAAAATAACAATTTCTTCTCGCCATGCCTAATTTTTGGTTTGCCTTAGAAAGGACTTTGGAGCACTGATCTTTCCAATCGAGATTTGATGTCACAATTACACCCAGATCCTTTTCATGATCAACATAGTCAAGTGTGATTCTTCCCATGGAGTATACAAAGTTAAAGAGTGGTAGGACACTAAGGAGGGAAACTGTTTCGGATATCCTTCCTGCGACGGTGAGGACCTTACATTTGTCGGGATGAAATCTCATTTTATTAGAAAGTGACCAGTCATGGAGATAATCAATGTCCTTCTGCAGTCGCAGGATATCAGACTCCGAAACAATCTTACGCCAAATTTTAGTATCATCGGCATACAGTGACAGTTGTGTGCCTGGTGAAATCCCCACTGATATATCATCAATGAACATAATGAACAGCAATGGTCCCAAAATTGACCCTTGAGGTACACCAGACTGGGCGTTTCTCATAGAAGAAAACTTGCCACTTATCAAGACCTGTTGTTGCCTGTCTCTTAGATAATCAGTGATGAATTTCAGTAGCCTCCCATCAATACCAAATTTGCTCTTTAGCTTAAATAATATAAGATCATGGTTAACCGAGTCAAATGCTTTGGCAAAATCAAAGTAGACTACATCTGTTCTCATATTTTCATTCAGTGAGAGCGCTAGGCTGTCGCACAGTCCTACAAGATTAGTTGCACAAGATCTCTCAGCTCGGAAACCATGCTGTTTGTCATTGATCATGCCATTAGTAAGTGCCAATAACTCATCTCTTATTATGCGTTCAAGAACTTTTGTGATTAAGCATGTAAGAGAAATTGGCCTATAATTTGAAACCTCATGTTTATCCCCTTTCTTGAATATTGGTACAATGTGCCCCAGTTTCCACTCCCTTGGTAGTGTCCCAATGTTGTAGCATGAATGAAAAAGTATTGATATAGGGTATGCGAGCCCAACCGCACAGTTTTTCAAAAGTTTCCCATGGATACCATCAGGTCCATAAGCTTTATTAGCATTAATATTGGAAAGGATTTTGCTAACCCTTCTGTGGTCAAATTCAATATCAAAGCGCCAATCATTAGAGTAATCTATATCTATGTCATAAGTTGATGCCTCAGAGAACTGCTCGAAGAAAAAGTCATTAAATAGGTTGGCCTGGTCTTCAGGGCAGTTGCGGACAGTGCCTTTGTGGCTTACAAACTCGGGGATCCGCTGACTAGCTGTCTTCGATTTGACATAGGACCAAAATTTTTTTGTTATTAAAGCACTATCATCAGATTCATCTAATGTTTCCCTCATTTTTTGAGCAACCACATTTTTGAAATTTTTCCTAGCAAGGGAGAATGCAATTTCAGCTCTATCACTTTTATGCCTTTCTTTATGTAATCTCACTTTCTTACGCCATGCATCATAACACTCCGAGTCAAACCATGGATCTTGGCCATCAGTCTTGACAGAGCATTTTTTAACAAATTTATCTGTGACATTAAAAAGTTTGTCCTTAAATTTTTTCCATCCAATTTCAGGTTCTGTGCCATTGAGCAATGCATCCCAATTCGTGTGTCGGAGTTCATGGTTTAGCCTCTCCCAGTTCACAGTCTTAAAGTTATAGCACATACGCCTGACTGGCTTCTTCCTACCAACTTTAACGTTGATCTTAAAATTGATGGGGAAGTGGTCAGACTTGCAAGCACTATCTCTCTCACCTACCATTAGGTCATTAATATTTGACACAGAGTTTGTGAGCAATAGGTCAAGTGTTTTGCCTTTGCAGTGGGTAGGTGTTAACACACATTGTTGAAGGCCAAGATCAACAAAAGATTCAACAAAAGATTGCTCAATAGGACAGGAGCTGGCCAGGGTAGACCAGGAAACTCCGGTCAGGTTAAAATCTCCTAGTATGAAGACTTTACTCAGTCCTCTTCTTCTGAGAAGAGTTTTCAAAGACTCAACAATTTTTTCATGATTTGCGGAGCCCAGTGTACCAACACGATAACATGTGCATACAACAAACTTAATTCCAGTGGAGGTCTTAAATTCCACAGCAAGAATTTCTGCACCATACTTGAGACGAACTTCCTTTGAAGTTAGATCAAGGTCTGCTCTCACTGCAATCATGACCCCTCCACCATTCCTTCTAAACCGGGTTGGATTAGAAGGATCTGGTGGATGAGTTTTCTTCGATCTATCAGAGCGAAATATCTTATATCTGTCAGGGTGCAGAAATTCACTATCAGCAATAGAACTCTTAAACCAGGTTTCGTTAAGTATTGCAATATCTATCTTAGCCTCATTAAGATAAGTCGACACTTCAAGACATTTAGTGGTATCAATCATTGGATGGGCATTGTTCAGTTCGCCAAAAGGGATGAGACCTTGAACATTCTGAAAGTAAACATTCAATTTATTACCATTCCCAACTCCAACACCTATGGGAGACGGCCCTGGGTTTACAATTCCAGGGTTTACTAAAACTATCAAAAAACCATTCATCAAAAACAACCAAATTATGCATCCCGTGAGTGTATTGCCGGTTCTACCAGTAAATATGCAATTTAAGTTCTTATGGATTGAAATCTGGCAAAATCTATATAAACCATCGAAACTGTAATTATTCCTCAGATAATACATATTTGCTAAATATAAAAAGAAATAAACTGTAAAGCATCGGCACAAGTTAGGAACTGGGTATGTTGGTACAAAGGCTCGGCAATCATAAGTGACCCTAGAAAAAGCCAACCCACTTACCCCGACATATGTGATAGTGATTAGCGAAAAGTGACATATGAATATAACATAAAAAATATAAAATAATAAGCGAGAATCAATGCAGCTGTCTAAATAATCAAAAATACTACCTGTACCACGTCTACGGTTCTGATGTTTGATGGATTTTGCAAAAGAATTTCCACTAAACACTCCAACTCTAAATCTGTATGTTACTAAATCGATCATGGTGTTTTACAGGTGAGTATACTTGCCAGACTACAACTGCATATCATTAGCTTAACAAGGTTCAGAAGACAGCACAAAAGAACTACTGATAGATATAAGGATTAAAATATCTACTGTGGATGGCACGAATATAAAATCTGGCCAACACACCCATACCTTTCTGAGGATTGGGGTGAATGCCTTTGTTCTCAAATAAGGGATCAAATCTCTTAACAGGCTCACTTAGAGCTCTCTTAAACTTTGTAAAGGGATAAAACACATCCATGAAAAAGAACCTCCTAAATACACACTCATTGTATAAAATCCTATTAAAATCCATTACCCTCTTGTTAGTTAATTTATCGTTATCATTCTGTAAAGGTAATGGCAATAGAGATTGAACATATACCTTACAGTTGGGAAATAATAGGCCTATCTTACCAAAAAGTTGCTTTACTGGTCCCCTCAAAATACCAATTTTATCCCCCACACGCCTAATATCGTTTGTGCCTACGCTGATCAGAAGCTTCTCAACGTGGACATCAGGATGTGCCGTGCAGTAGTCCTCCAACTGTTTCTGGACTTTGTCCATTTTTGCTCCGCCTTCTGCAACATTTACGACTGTGACTTTCCCTTTTCCCAGCTTTGCGGAGTCCAATCTTTGAGCATAAGAGTCTCCAGCAACCAGCGTGACTCTTTGCGCAGGTACTTGGGCTTCGGTGCCAGAAGCTGGTGTACTAGTCTCTGTGCTGATATTCTGAGAGCTAACTTGGCCACCAGATTTCACAATAGCTCGAAATGACAGGGAGTATCTTACTTGCTCCGATTTCTTTGGAGGCTCTCCCTTTGTGGCCGGCTCTGCTCGCACAGCATGCCTCAGATTCTGCTGTGTCCCAGGCCGCATTACAACAAGACTGTTGTTCTTCATCCTTATCGTCTTGACACAATTAGGTTTCCCAGTTGTGCCCTCGTAAAACTCAAGCGTCCGTTCACATCCCAGTGAGAAAGAGCAAATCGATTTCTCCTGGTCCATTAGTTTCTCACCGTCATTGTGTATTGAAGTACTCGCTTGGTTGTTTCCATACTTGATGACCAGACATGAGTCCAGAGGTCCAGTTATCTCCGTACTCGAGTTTACAAGACTCAGGAGTCTTTTGATATTAGGGAAACCACTGATATCCTGTGGTGGGTGCACTGGATTTGTGTCAGTGTAAATATAGGGTGCATCCTGTGAGCACAACCAAGCTGTTGTTGCCTTGTGTCTTCCCTCGGTGTTCAGTTTCTGCAGGGACTCACATTCAACCCATACCGCATCACGGAGAACCTCATCCTCGCAGAAGTCCTCTATATGTAACACAAAATTGTCCACCTTTCCCTCACGCTTTGGCAGCTCGTTTTGAACAGAGTTAAGGATATGACGTAGATCCTCAACTGAGGCAGCTTTGACATAGTCGAAAATCTCTTGAAGGTTTATCATTGTTGTCAGAGATTGTCGAGTCTGGCAGCAAAGTTTGCCAGGGAACCATCCGTAACACCTCAGAGTAGGCAACCTCCCACAACACTAAACACGACCTGGAAGGAAAATGGCACGAGAAAATGTGTAATGAAACTGCTGGTCGGGAGTAAAGTTAAATTTGCCAGTGAAAATATAGCTAGAGTAAGGATAAGAGGGGCAATATCAGAGATGTAAAAATTCACATTCAAAATAAGCTATCAATGAGAAAGAAGTAAAAGAGAAACTTACATCGTGTTTAAGGTGTTGTTGCCCAGTGCAAGCACTGGGCGAGAGGAGCCTAACTCAGGAGGCGAACTTCAGGAACCCCAGCGCACCCGCATACCAGGAGATCGGCTGTACTTCCTAGCCCGTCATGCCATTGTACATGCCTAAATTATTTGTTATATAGTAGTGTTGAAAGTATTAAAACTTGTTTTTGTTGCAAGTTCCATTTTATGTTAGAGAAGTTTGATGTTGTCCGTTAGAATTGTTTTATTTCAGAATGACATATGGGCCGAGACCAAATACATGGGATTGCACATCAGTTATTTTGCTTGCAGAAAAGGACAAGTATTCAATGTCTCGGATTGGATTATCTGTCAGGTACGTACTGTTTGGTGCTGATTTTTGCTCCTCAGCTCCAAGTAAAGGTTATGGTGGATTACTTGGCAATGTGCGATTGCGCGGCTCAATAAACGACTCCATCGTCAGCGTTTTGTCATTTACCTCAATGAAAAGCAAACAATTCCGCGCACAAGAGTTTCTCTTGCGCGCGAGCTAGATCCGTTTATCATGCGTAATCATGAGAACGTATCGTGGCAGGGTGTACAACCTGCTTCATAGTTCATACCCTGATTCACTTGACAGACTCCGACTCTGGCCATACGGCTTTGTGTATCTTCACAGATACGGGTAGGGTGATTTGCAAAGTGTGGACCCAATATTCCTGCCTAACTTTACATGCAGGTCCAAAGTCCTGGCTGGAAAAGGCTATTGGGTAATTGTTACAGTTAGAGTCGGGGGAGTCGTGATTCTATGTTAGCGTTATAATTTGGGTTGACTTATCAACAATTTGCTCTATGCATCGCTAATTTTCGCAGTTGTGGCTTTGTGGGATTCTCTTTCGCCATCTGTTAACACTTATAGTTTATACAGAGTAAATATCACTATTGTATCCAAAATCCGATAGTTCTTCGGTGAAATATGATCATAAATTCCTTGACATAGTGGATCTGACTTGTGGAGAATGAAACGTAACATTATTAACATAACTTTGTCAGGGTATCAAGATCGTACCAAACACTCATGTAATACAGTGTGCACTCCGCAACCAGACCAAGTGAGTAGATTGTGTGAGTAGTGTGCCAATACCGCAATGTGTGTCCAGTGTAAAGCAGTAAAGTTTACCATCGCTGGGTTTGCTGCCTGATCGTTATGCTTTGTCATAGGGCCGTGGTGTGAGTTATTATTGTAGCAAATCCGAAATCTCACACGTGTGTGGTCTTACTTTTAAAATATAGAAGTGAATTTTTACTAGTACTTATTAGTAAATTTCCTTAATTACTTGCTACTTGGGTTACTGTTGTTTCTGTTTCTTATCTCCACGCAACTCAGGACGTTTGACGACATAATGGAAGACTGGAAAGAAGAAGCCATGGGGCAAAAGAAGGGGAAACGCAACAATGCGGCTCCGGAGGGCCAACAACAACAACCACCACAGCAGTCCAGCAAGTCTAGGAGATCTCGGAAAAAGAGGAAAAAATGACCTTCAACACAATCCCTTGATTCCACCCAATCTTATCGATGAATTAAAGACGTTGATATGGCCTGGGAAGAATTAGTCTACAGTTGTAAATAGTTTGAATCAGGCCATCCCTAATTGGTGAGACTTTATGAGAAATTTATAAAGTCTTTCCAAAAAAGGATAGCTAGGCGCCAGTTTCATATGCAATTACTATGGGAATGTTCACTTAGACCAGTTTACCCAGTTTAACTCAGTGTAGAAAGATGATTTATTGGAAAATATAAACGGTCTAGGAATTTATTTATGTTTGTAAATTTAAGTAATCTGGTGCAAATTTCCGGATTTCTGCGGGTCTGGTTCTACTCCCAGTGTGGTGCGAAGCTCGGTTTTTGAGCGCATAAACCACCTCCCCAACTGTTGCAACATATGTTTTAAATTATAGCGTTTGAGTGATTTAAAATCAGTGGCACCCGTTTGGGTTTTTAGTGTAATTGTTATTGGGATTTAAAGCTTTAAGGAGTGGCTTACTGTTTTATAACTTCTTTTGAACTTTGGTTTTTATTTTAACAACGCTCAGATTTCGTTGACCAGCCACTGTCGACGGTTGATATATATATCTGATCAAGGTGATTTGGTGTATTTATTATTTTTCTTAGGAAATACTACTACGATGTAACTGACAATTATTTTGCAAATTACCCAATCAGAATTCAGATCAGCAGAGTATATCACTTAGCTTCGTTAGTCGATCATAAGCCAGCAAATTAGCTTTCATGTTCCTGATTTAGAATTTTTATACTTGAAAACATTATATCACATCAATAAAAAGCAAAAACGATTCCCCCCTGTCGGACCATTAAACCCAAATTTCACAGTGATAAACAGTTAGGGATGTCATGAAATATGCGATGAGAGCAGACATAACCAGGTGACATAACCAGGTGACGCTTGTGACATAACCAGGTGACGCTTGTGACATAACCAGGTGACGCTTGTGACAAGACAACATGTCGGATGCCGGATACATTAGTGACAGTGATAATGATAGTGGGATAGGTGAGTACCACACATGTTCCAACTTTAACTTTAATTAACTGAAAGAAAAGTTGTTAATTTTCAGTGAGCAAAAATCCTGGCTACTTTTTAGATAGAATATTTAAAATTTTAATCTGATATATTGATATACCCCAGGTCGACCAATGGAGCCGTCAGAACAGGAAGAGGACGATAACTTTAGTTCTGAGAGTGAAGCTGAAGCAGAGGATGCCATGAACCCCCCTCCAGCCATGCAGCTTCCTCCGGAACAGGTACATAACCTTTACACTCTCTGGTTTTTTTCCAATTTCTAGGAATCACGGTTCTGTATTATGCGGATAGAACGCTTTACTTTGTCATAAAGTACTGAACACACATATAATATATAGTTATAGTGTATGGGGGTATATACTATTATATATATTATATATATAGTTATACTAGTTAGTTGTTGACCAAGTTGTGATCAGGTCACTTCGTCCGAGGACCAGCAGCCCTCCACCTCCAGCCAGGGTACCAGCTCCTCCAGCAACCAAAACAAAAACAAGAAGAAAAAACCAAAGAAAGACAGCCAAAACTCCAAGTCAGGTTTGAGAGAAGTCATTACGCTATTTTTATTACTTCATTTATGAATCACGCGATTATAATTTTAATCTCAGATTATTGAGATGTATGTTTATCGATTTTGTCACTCTAGCTCTTTGGGACCGGTAAAATCCTTTAGTCAGAAAGTGATCGTTTTACATTCGTTGCTATCATTGAGCTGCCTTATCTTTTATAACTGAGTGATAAGACTTGCCTGAGTTAGCTGTTAGCTTGTTGTAACCTTTATAAACGAGTTAAACACCGCATTTAACGCTATGCAACCACTTCAAAACATACACTCTAATCATCTGGATGAGCCGAGTTTTGATGCATTAACCGCAGAAGAAAAGAAGGAGGATGAGAACCAGGAAGCAGAGTTCCCGGAGCCTATTGTGCAGGAATCTGATGATAACAACAGCAAAGAAGTGGATACTTCCGACGATACCGCCCTCCTTATGATGCTTAAAATGAGACGAAACGAATCCAGAAAGCTTAACCACGCTGAGGTACTGTATTTTGTAATGAAACCATTTTTAAGTTTCTTGTTATCTCTTGTTGGAATCACGTGATCCTCAAAATTAAAACAACTATTTGTGAGTTTTCAGAATAATTAACAATATAATGATACCCTCAACTACCAGGTTCAAGAAGAAGAGAAGCGTTCGAAGCTCCCTGCTAATTGGGAAGCTAAGAAGAGAAGGGTGGAGTGGGAGCTGTCGGACCAAAAAGCAAGGGATGAGGCTGAGAAAGGTGGTAAAGACTACGATATCGTCAAAAACATGAGTACGTCAATCTCTATACATTCATGATTCATATCCTAGATAATTTTCAAATATTGTACTAATATATAAAGAGACTTGTTGTACAATACTTTAACATGTCAGCCCACTAGGCGCACCGGCACAGGAGCTGGAGTACTACAGCAGAAAAGCTAAGAAGAAGAACCCTGATCCGGGATTCTCGGACTTCGCTGCCTCGCAATTCAGACAATACGAACGAATATCAGGTTAGTTGGTTAATACTTTAATAGTTCAAAGTCATGACGTTCTAGATTCCTGATCTTGAAGTGTCCTGATCTTAAAGAGTCCTGCTATTTTAAAGCCATAAGTTGTGAGATTCTTGAGTTTTATCGCAGTTTATTAATCCTTTTTATTCCTCTCAGGACAATTGCGAGTTAACGAGGAAGCGTACGAAGAACAGCGACAAAAACTCGGAGATGCTTTCTATCCAGCTGCTGGAGACATTCTGACCACCGGTACTGATAATTTACTATCTATAGCATTTATACTATAGCATTTATAGTAATTAATGGAGACGTTTGCTAGCTCCTTATCTTCTAGGCCATACGATATTAGCGTTTCTTGCATCATATTGTTGATACTGGTTACCATGCAAATATACGACTTAAGATTAGAAATTGTTGTAAATGTAATGATACGACTCTGCAATGTGTATTATAATAATACACTTCTCTAACAGGTCAAGTTAGTACCACTGCGCTGGATAAGATGGCCGCGGATATCGAGCGGCAGATCAAGAAGCGCTCCAAGTACAGCCGGCGGAGAACGCATGTTGACGATGCTGACATCAGTTACATCAACGAACGAAACAAGAAGTTCAACGAGAAATGTGAGCGCTTTTACGGGAAGTACACCGAGGAAATCAGGGGAAATCTGGAGAGGGGTACTGCCCTCTGATCTTCATTTCGTGGTGATCTGGACGCCGCAACTCTGTCGGCACTCTTACAATTGATATCCGAGGTTTTCTGTCGTTTTCCGGCGTTTTCCGGCAATCGGGTATGCCCGTTGACGTCGTGAGAAGCTTTTTGTGGCGCTCTGAGGTGCTTAATGTGGCGCTCTGAGGTGCTTAATGTGGCGCTCTGAGGTGCTTAATGTGGCGTTCTGGCGTCTAAGATACTTCGTGCAGTGCAATGAGTTGCCTCTTGACCATTTTTATTGGACACTGAAATTTACATTATATCATAACCAAATGAGAAATCTTGAGACATAAACATTTTTGGATGAAATTTGTCTCAAAAAGTTTTAGATAATTACTTAACTAGATAATCAATTAATTGGGGAATTGAGTTATTACATCGAGATGATTCGTCCGCTTATTTTGAATTATCACACTCTATGTGATGATGCAAAGTTGCACGTGTTACTTCTGCCGTGTGTTATTGTGCGGTGTTAGACATTATACTTTCCCGCTTTCCCTCTGAAATGCTAGCCCCTGGCTTTAAAAGCTCCAAATTACAATAGAAGAACATTAAAAGCTTAAAATATAGGGGCCAGCTATATTCGTGTGAAGTGTAAAAAGTAGTACTGTGAAACTCAGCATGATTCAACATAATATGATCAGTAAGCTGAGTACGGATCATATCTCAATTCTGAGTAGGAATAGGAAGTACAGGGGTGCCTAATAATTAAATTAAATTGCAGTTAGTTTATTTAACCTTTCTGTTTAGTGTTAAATTAAGTTCTTTTTTCACATTTCAACAGTTCTTATCACAATTCCCGAAACGTTGGAGTAAATACTGAGTTTTATTCGGCCAGCTAATATGATGATGGTACATGCCTTGTCCATGTTTTGTAATATCTAAACTAGAAGACCGTCTGCGCTCTGAGCTTTCTGTGTTGTGTCAAAGTAAAGTGTTTAAAATCAGAAACTATAAACGTGTCTAAATTTAAATGATCGTGGAACTTATACTTCTGTTGTCGACTGGGATAGGATTTTAGGAGCGCTGAGGGCCATGAAACCGCTCATCATTTCGGAAGAATCCTAAAAATTTGCTCTGTTAGGAATGTCACCCAGAAAATGTTCATATGTTTAACATTAGACGTTGTGTGTTTTGAATTAGTTCCAATGCTAACGACTTCACTATGCAAGCTGTCTACCGAAAAAAAATGTTTCCGAAAAATTCATCCAAGAAAGTTGAGCAGAAAATAGCTTTTCAAGATTTGCAACCCTAATCTTAAGTTCGATCGATCACTGGTTTCCATATTACGATTTATTATTGAGTCCTTTCTATGATGATGAATCTGATTTAGCTCTTTCTAGCATCGCAAGTCTGTTAAGATATAATCAATGCTGATATTGATAAATGTTGGCAAAGTTTCATTATTTAGTTTACGATTTCTTGGAGCGTACACGAGTGCTGCACTATGAAATGTATTTGTTATTAATATTTTTACAGAATGTTTTATTTTTAAAGATCAGTCCCATAACTGTGACATTGATTTGATAATGAGGCTACTTCATTGAAAATTAGCTTCAAAAAAATATGTTTTTCATTTCTAACGTGGCATTGATCACAGATCTCATAACACGTAAGTGCCAAATTTGAGCTATTTTAGAATTCAGACCCCTCCATGTCACTAATGACTAACATTTTAACCAATGTTCAATGTTGGCTGACATCATAATATACATATATGATTTAATAGTATTAGTACATGACACGATATCTGGGATCAAAAAAGTACAACGGGATTTTTTTTTTTCCTTACTCTCGCCGAAGGCAAAAGGACCGTAGGGAATAAGTAATCAGGTTTGGAATTGGATATATGAGGTGGCCCGACGGTTCTTCGGTGATGACACATATAATTATGTGTATAAAAGGAGTATATTTTGCGCGCGCGACACCAGTTATGTGTTGATTTAATAATTAATTACGGGCATAGCAACCAGTTTTTGGTGCTTGACGACTGTTACACAGGTTTACCGAGTGATAAAATTCAGCAAGTCAAAACTTACTGGGTCGCGCTCAGCCTGTCATTCCGCCTAGTCTCTATTCATATGATAGTTCTTTTATTCAAATTTCTGATTGTTTCTGAATAGACTCAGTGATGACAGATTCTAATGGAAATAAATAGCTGAATAACGTATCGACATTTCTACGTCATACTCATATTCTCAAATTATTTGTTATATAGTAGTGTTGAAAGTATTAAAAGTTTGAAAGTTTTAATACTTTCAACACTACAGATTCTAATGGAAATAAATAGCTGAATAACGTATCGACATTTCTACGTCATACTCATATTCTCAAATTATTTGTTATATAGTAGTGTTGAAAGTATTAAAAGTTGAAAGTTTTAATACTTTCAACACTACTATATAACAAATAATTTGAGAATATGAGTATGACGTAGAAATGTCGATACGTTATTCAGCTATTTATTTCCATTAGAATCTGTCATCACTGAGTCTATTCAGAAACAATCAGAAATTTGAATAAAAGAACTATCAAATCATGAGACTCAAAAACACTACACGAATCCACCAGATCTATTCATATGATTATGGGCATAAATATAATAGCCTGCCGGAGGAGCATTGATTGACGATGTCAACCCATCGAGATCGTTGCTTCGATGCGAAGCAAGAATGCTAGTTCGCGTCGAAGCGGCGAAGTCCTTCAATATAAAAATATAAGTAGGTAGTGCGCCATCGACAGTGAGCCGCGCGTGCCGACTGTAGGATGGTTTTTTATGCGCGGTGCGCACTTAAAATTTTGCTTCCATTTAAAATTAGGTTTTTGACTAAATTATGTTTAATACATTTAAATTATTTGTTACAATATACATTTTAAAAAAGGGTCAAAATATAAATATAGTATCTAAGAACCGAAAATTGAGTGCGCGCAAAAAAGTTAAAATTTTGACCACTTTTTTGGATTTTTACCCAAAGAAAATTAAAAAATTTGTGTTATTTTTATACCATATTGTGAGGATATGTTTTAACTTTCTTTAAGCAAATTTTTATAATGTGCCGACAAAGTTAATTTGTTCAAAAATATAAAAATAGGGTTTTTTGGACTATTTTTAGCCCAAAAATCGGTTTTTGCAATTTCACCCGAGGAAACTCAATTCAACCATTTTGCATTCCAAAATCATTTTTAATCAATGAAACGAAAAGTTTTCAATGAAACGAAATTGAAAAGTTTTATTTTTGATTTTACATTCCTTTAATCATAAATAAAATAGGAGCTTAAACCACGAATTAGTTAGCTAAAAGTAAACTTAAGTAAATATTCTTTGGTGATTGTATATAATTATTTAAAAAACTTTATTTGGTTGTTAGTATTTTTATTATGGTAAGTGGTTGAATTTAGGGGAATTTAGCGAACTTATACTTCTGTTGTCGACTGGGATAGGATTTTAGGAGCGCTGAGGGCGATGAAACCGCTCATCATTTCGGAAGAATCCTAAAAATTTGCTCTGTTAGGAATGTCACCCAGAAAATGTTCATATGTTTAACATTAGACGTTGTGTGTTTTGAATTAGTTCCAATGCTAACGACTTCACTATGCAAGCTGTCTACCGAAAAAAAATGTTTCCGAAAAATTCATCCAAGAAAGTTGAGCAGAAAATAGCTTTTCAAGATTTGCAACCCTAATCTTAAGTTCGATCGATCACTGGTTTCCATATTACGATTTATTATTGAGTCCTTTCTATGATGATGAATCTGATTTAGCTCTTTCTAGCATCGCAAGTCTGTTAAGATATAATCAATGCTGATATTGATAAATGTTGGCAAAGTTTCATTATTTAGTTTACGATTTCTTGGAGCGTACACGAGTGCTGCACTATGAAATGTATTTGTTATTAATATTTTTACAGAATGTTTTGTTTTTAAAGATCAGTCCCATAACTGTGACATTGATTTGATAATGAGGCTACTTCATTGAAAATTAGCTTCAAAAAAATATGTTTTTCATTTCTAACGTGGCATTGATCACAGATCTCATAACACGTAAGTGCCAAATTTGAGCTATTTTAGAATTCAGACCCCTCCATGTCACTAATGACTAACATTTTAACCAATGTTCAATGTTGGCTGACATCATAATATACATATATGATTTAATAGTATTAGTACATGACACGATATCTGGGATCAAAAAAGTACAACGGGATTTTTTTTTCCTTACTCTCGCCGAAGGCAAAAGGACCGTAGGGAATAAGTAATCAGGTTTGGAATTGGATATATGAGGTGGCCCGACGGTTCTTCGGTGGAAGGACCGTAGGGAATAAGTAATCAGGTTTGGAATTGGATATATGAGGTGGCCCGACGGTTCTTCGGTGATGACACATATAATTATGTGTATAAAAGGAGTATATTTTGCGCGCGCGACACCAGTTATGTGTTGATTTAATAATTAATTACGGGCATAGCAACCAGTTTTTGGTGCTTGACGACTGTTACACAGGTTTACCGAGTGATAAAATTCAGCAAGTCAAAACTTACTGGGTCGCGCTCAGCCTGTCATTCCGCCTAGTCTCTATTCATATGATTATGGGCATAAATATAATAGCCTGCCGGAGGAGCATTGATTGACGATGTCAACCCATCGAGATCGTTGCTTCGATGCGAAGCAAGAATGCTAGTTCGCGTCGAAGCGGCGAAGTCCTTCAATATAAAAATATAAGTAGGTAGTGCGCCATCGACAGTGAGCCGCGCGTGCCGACTGTAGGATGGTTTTTTATGCGCGGTGCGCACTTAAAATTTTGCTTCCATTTAAAATTAGGTTTTTGACTAAATTATGTTTAATACATTTAAATTATTTGTTACAATATACATTTTAAAAAAGGGTCAAAATATAAATATAGTATCTAAGAACCGAAAATTGAGTGCGCGCAAAAAAGTTAAAATTTTGACCACTTTTTTGGATTTTTACCCAAAGAAAATTAAAAAATTTGTGTTATTTTTATACCATATTGTGAGGATATGTTTTAACTTTCTTTAAGCAAATTTTTATAATGTGCCGACAAAGTTAATTTGTTCAAAAATATAAAAATAGGGTTTTTTGGACTATTTTTAGCCCAAAAATCGGTTTTTGCAATTTCACCCGAGGAAACTCAATTCAACCATTTTGCATTCCAAAATCATTTTTAATCAATGAAACGAAAAGTTTTCAATGAAACGAAATTGAAAAGTTTTATTTTTGATTTTACATTCCTTTAATCATAAATAAAATAGGAGCTTAAACCACGAATTAGTTAGCTAAAAGTAAACTTAAGTAAATATTCTTTGGTGATTGTATATAATTATTTAAAAAACTTTATTTGGTTGTTAGTATTTTTATTATGGTAAGTGGTTGAATTTAGGGGAATTTAGCGAAACAAAATCAGTTTTTTCGATCGATTTTATGATCGAGCAGAAAATGCTCACAAAACCTTTTACTATTTATACCGTAAACGTTTAATTTGCTTAAGAGATCAGAATATTGTAATTAATAGCGTCGTTGGACGTTGCCTCACTTTGTAATCCCGCCGCGCACAAGTGGGCGTAATATGTATCGTGGCTTTATTCGCTCCGATGGCTTTTGCCTCAATACACTAAGTGAAATTACAATGGGGTCACGACATGGTACAAGGATGTCGAAAACGTTGCTCAAGTCAATGATTAATATCCCTAAAACATGTTTATTGCTAGCTTGTAGCTAGAGACTTTCTTGTAACAGAGTTTGCAGGACTTCGCCGCTTCGACGCACAGCACGAACTATCATTATTGGTTGGTGTCGAATCAAGAAAACAACAAATTCAAGAAAACAACAAATTTTTATTTAAATCAATTATAGCAACAATTTGAAAAACTTTAAAGCTCTTCTATTACCATGGAATATACTACGGGTATGGTGACTTGGGCTATTGAGTTGTTAAGTAGATTAAGATTAGTAAACCTGCACTTGCATTGTATATTTTATAAAAACTAGAAATTAGGCTTCACGGTAAAACACACGGTAAAATGGAGAAGCAGGCTGATCTTGGAGAGAGCAGACCGTAAAGTTTACGCACCCACCAGGGCTACCTACCTACCCCAGTTGTTCTTTTTGGTTTATCAGCTTGTATTGTTATATTTATGGACCCCAAGTCACCACACTAAGAAGGAGTATGTAAAAAAAAAATAATAATAATAAATTAAGTTAATATCATCATATCTGTTCAAAACAGTAAAAGTCAAGTTGAGGGTTGACTTTCCTAGTTAATTTAAAGGTTCAAACGTTTGGGAATATAATAATGTTGGTATTTGTATCTGCTGCAGCAATAATATCGAAATATCATTTGTCTAGAAAATTTTCGCCACTTCAATAGATATTGGGTCGGCAATTTGGTGAGTGAGTGATGAGATGGTTTGGTCTGTGATTGAGTGAGGGGCGATGTGAAAGTTTTGGTAAGTCCAGGTGTTATTATTGTTGATGGATTGAGATCCCAGGATGATACTTTTACAGCGTAATTTAACCAAAGATACAGAAGTAGTGAGGATTTCCCCATTCTCATTTAGAATCCGTTTATGTATGCTATTCCACAATTTGGAGGCTATATAAAGAAAAGTGTTGGTTTTTCTTGGGAGGATTATGACATTGCTTGTATCATTGATCTCGATGGGTTGACAGTGTCAGTCAATAACGGAGTTTATAGATTTGTGTAAAGCATCTAGGTGGTAGAATGGCCTTTTCTAAATCTGATCCAAACTGTGAGTCTTTCGATGTTCGACTTTCAGTACACCTTTAGAAGTGAAGAAATTATAAAAGCGTTTGTAAATGACCTTCTCGAAAAATGTTTTTCTTTTATTAAATAGGAATAACTTTACGTGGGAATGTACCACTTTGTATACATTTGCTGTAAAGCCTAACCAAGCAATTACAAATTAGCTTTACCGACTTTTAAACTACCATTGCAGGTACCTTAATTCCCAAAAATTTGGGCGACAAAAAATTTGAGCGGGCCTCTCGCCCAAATTTTTTGCAGACCAAATTAATTGCATAAATCTTTTCCGTCTGCTAAATTTTTTGCTAACCAAACTTTTGGCATTTGGCATGTGGCCCTGAAATCTATAGAAAGATGGCTTTTTCTTCATATCCAAGTGAAATAATATTTGAAATTTTAGTTTTTTAATCTGTCATTCATGGCTTGACCAAGTAAAAAGGCTTATATTTTAAATGAATAGAAATAACTGGAATAGCTAACATCTACTAATAAAACAAATGGCTAGAGGTACGGATAGCTAGAGATTTAAACAAGATCTGCAAATGGATTATCATCCACCGTAAAGTCTGATCTACAAGCATCAGTTATACCCGACTTCTCAAAGCCTTTCCTTTATGTCATCTGGCCTTCCTTTTAAATAT